AACAAAAAAGGGTGTAAAAATACAATGTTTACTGTGAAGAGGGCCGCAATCTGCAAAAGAAAACCACTGCCACTGAAGAAAACTCGAAACGAAGAAGAAAAAGCAAAGAAAACCAAAGGGGACGCGAAATAAAGTCATATCATCGTCCCCTCGGTTTTATGGGTGAAGCCTGACAAAATGGTACACGTGGCAGCTTCCCATTGGTTATGGGGCAGAGCGATCCTTCGTTTTCTCGCCCAAACGAAGGAAAAATCTCCACCGCACACGTGGAGCGAATCCGGGCACTCTTGTAAATCGCGATCCCACACACGTGCCACGCCTGATTAGACATCCTACTCGACCGAGCTGGCATATTCAAGAATACCAATTGGCCGCACCCAAGCCAACGAATTCTTGCACTTCATCCATTCGAGATGCCCTCCCGACCAAACGATGATACTAGAACCATACACCCTGTCTCGGGACCACGAGACAAGCATCGCTAAAAGTTAAGAGCATCTAGCTACTCGGTCATCACGGACGAACGAACCCGTCACGATTGGGAAATGAGCACATGCAACCATCCGATCAGATTCAACAAACCAACCTAAGGCAACACCTCCAAGTTGAGCTTAACGTATTCCGCTCGACAGGAAGCACCAAGCATGCACACCTTTAAGGGATAGCCCACGCACCCACTCACCCGGCTCGTCACATCGAGTCAGGTCACTTCTAGGGACACCTTACACCCAGCCATTTGCCTTGACATACTGAACGAATACATCGTTGCGGGAGTCGCACACCTTCTCACCCGGAAGGGCAGACCGAGTGAGGGAGTTCGCGCAGGTTCTTTCACGTTTCCCCTTGACTCGGTATATTGGACAAGTCTAACAAGGTCGACTCACCTCTCCACTCGGTTAGACGTATTGAACAAATCCATGACTATGTTTCATCTCGCCTAGGTACACTAGTATATCAAATTCCCTGCCGACAAGAGCTTACACTATTTGTTCCAGGGAATAGAGAAGCATCACATTCATAAGTTCAACCGGTTGGTCGCAAAGGCCGACCAGAGTCATCTCCAAGCAAAGTTTACTCTCTAAGCTAAGCACACCTTAACTCAGAGAGTGGGGGGCAAACTGTTAGGGCCAAAAGGTGTCCTCGACCTAGATGAGCCCAAAGATGAAGACACCTGATAAGAGCTTGAATGTTTATATTTTTTTTAGTGATTTAATTGGTTTATTTATGGAAAAAAGTGTTTCAAGTGTGGAATTTGAATTAATTCTTTCATAAATACCATTTATGGGATCACAGATGCATTTTGAGTGTTTCAGGCTCAAACAGATGTCTGAAGGGAAAAGAATGATGTCGATGGAATTCATGATGAGTAGGAACAAACAGTGCAAGAATCGGAGTTGAAACGATAAAGTTGTGACGCGTCGAAGATACAACGTAAAATCTGGAAATTCTTCAAGATAAGCATGCTTAACTGTTTAGATCATAACTTGAGCTGTAGAAATCAGAATTTGACTATTCTTGTGGTGTTGGAAAGATTATTCAGAGAGTTACAAAGTTTGTTTTGATAACTTGACCAAGTTCTGAAGATCATGGATGCCTTGGACAGAAAGAATGATCGTCATAGCGACGGTTCTTACCGCCACGGCGATGGATCATGAGCTTGTACTGTTAATGCATTATCATAACCCGAATCTAAATGGGCTAAGGCATTTACTCTTTTCCTAATTAAGACAAAACCCTAGGACCATAAAAGGAGGATTTTTGAGAAGTTTTGGAGAGCTTTGGAGAGAGAGAAAAAGACGGCTACTAGTTTGGAGATCGGGATTCTGGAAGCTCTCGTTCACCAATTAGAGAAGTGTTTTTATATTTTTCTTTATGGAACTCATGTCATTGAATGGAATGATTGATTTTATTATTGTCATTATGAACTAACTCTCTTTTCTAGGGCTACAGATGTAGCCCAATTTATGAATATGTGTTGACGTTATTATGTTGATTTTATATTGAGTGTTAATTCTAAGTTTTATTATCATGTGCAATGCTTTCAATTCTCAATGGCCCGAGAGTTGAATGATTTCATGGTTTGGGTTGAGATCGAGAGATGAAACTTGATTTGTCTAAGGTAATAAAACCATAGTTTGAACGAACGCTATAGATAGGTTACCGCAATTTGTGAGGCTCTGGTAAATTTCATATAACTTAATGATCTCTTAGCTTCTAAATCCAACTTAGAGATATCTTGGGTTGTTGCTTAAGGGTTAATTTACTAATTGCTTGAGAGAAAGTTAGTGAAATATTAGGGAATTTGGCTTTTGGAATACGCTTAATTAGGTTAACAATAAATGTCAATGCATATGATTAAATTGGTGTGAAATCTATGCCCTAGGTTTAGTCATATTGATCTTTTCATCGAAGTGTTTACAAATTCTGCATTTATTTAGTTTTTAGTTTGTTATCTTTTCCATTACATTCATGTTTAAAATTCTGTTTTATCAAATAGCAATAGAATAGACTAGTTTGGTATTTGGTAGGTAGTTCCCTTGGGATTCGACATTCGTTTACTCAAGCTTTATTACTTGCACGATTTCGTACACTTGTGAATAACTTGTCAACACCTTCGACAAAGCTAAAAAGTTCAGGCCCAATCCCGATGGGGCCTAACTCAGAGTTCTACATATGAGGCCCGTCTGGTGTTTCTTTCCAGTTCCTCTCCATCTGAACCCAGGCCTTCTGACCCTAGAACACCTTCTGAACTTACGGTCAACTCGGAGCCCACGATTGCCTACGAACTACAATACTGCTTGAACTCTACTAAGGAAGTCAATTATTATCCCAATTCGTCTAAGGTCTGTATCCTAGGCATGCTAGGACTCCCTTTCTTACTGAGATAAGGGAGCCAAAGGCTCTACTTTTTGGGAAGACCACTGCTACAAGGACTCCCAGTCCTACTAGGATTCGAAGACCATGTAGTCACTATTTAAACAGAGATCAAGCCTCTCACAAGGCACAGAGACATCACACCTTCAGACCCTAGAGTTCCCACTTGAGAACGTCGCATTACAGTCGTAGTCATAGTCCCCGACTAGACTTCCGGTAACATTTCCTCTGCCTAACCCTCACTAAACTAGCCTTACTCAGCCTTGCTGACTTGGGCGTCGGAGTGCTTATGGCAAACACTACCCTGGTGTTTTCCGTCTGCTTCATGCTTGTTTTCTTATGTATGCAGGTGCAATAGATCGCTAGTGGCCTCAACCTCACAAGATCAGTACCTCTTTCCCCGAAGGTAGATTTTTGCATCTACAGTAATTGTTAAGATTTATGTTTCAATGGTCTTAACTAATTTTTTAATATGTTAAAATAACGAAAGTAACTTAAAATTTATAATTCTCAAGTTTTGAAAACCTACATATTGAAACATTTTTTTTTTTTCACATATTACCAAACAATATAATGTATATAGAATTACAAGAACAATATTATATCATTTAAAATATTAAAAGTATTGGTAAAACTTTGAATACCTATGAAATTGATTTGTTGAATTTCAATCCTATAGGAAAGTGGTGAGTTTTTTTTTGTTGAGATTGTGGCTATAGATTAAAAAAATAAAAATTAAGAATAGGGTTTTATTTCAAAGGTGTATGATGGCATTATAAAATTAATGTGACGATATATTTGAAAAAAAAAAAAAAAAACTTATGGAGAAGCTCAAATAGAAGAGTAAATGACATGTTCCCACCCAAGGTTTAGTGAAATGGCAAGTTCACACCCTTGGTTTCATTTATTCCAGATTCTCACCCTTAATTAAACACCGTTAGTGACTGTTCTACTAAGGGTGAGAATCTAGAAAACTGAATTGGGCCTTTTATTGAGCAAGTGGTGGGCGCGCTTCAGGTTTCAATTTTCGACGAACAGGAAGTTAGAAACAGCCAAAGAACATATCCACACAAAATACAACACAAGGAGAGTCTATTGATGTAGTCCGATGACGCCTGTTGCTCTCCAATTGAACAAAAAACGATCGAGAAGATACCCAAAATTGCAAGGTGGTAAGTGTGGGAGTGGTTGGAAAAGTGAGTGATGATAGCAAGTGGGGGTATGAGTTTTGTAGAGGAGGTCGTAAAGAGTTCAATGGTGGTTTCGGAAATTATTTTGGAGTTTGGGATTGGTAAAAAAAAACAAAAAATCGACAGCTTGGACAATGCTAACGTGAGCCACTTCTTGTTAACATAAGCCCACTTTCAGCTCAAAGGAGCACCGGTCCATGTTAGCGTGAGCCGCAATAAAGTGAAAAGTTAAAATTAAGGAAACAACGTTAATTTAAGGGTGAGAATATAAAATTTATGAAACCAAAGGTGAGAATTTACCATTTCGCTAAACCTTGGGTGGGAACTTCTAGTTTACTCCAAATAGAATTATAGAAGTCATAAAATAATTTTTTATACAGTGATTGTATAAATAGTTTTGAAATAAAACAACCTTCAAAAAATTCAAAAGATATTGTGCTTGGATTTACTTTAGAAATAACTAATTTCCCCCATTTTAATCAATTTGGATTTACTTTACAAATAAGAAATATAATACAAGGTATGACAGAATTTATCACATTGCTGGATCTTGTTCAAAAAGATATTCTGTATGGTTCAAATTTCAAAAGGAATTTTAAACATTAAAGTTTTTATATTTACATTTTTTTATAAAAAATTAAATTAAATTATTTCTTGATATTACTCTTCATTAGATAAATTTTTAACACTATAATTGGTATAGAGATTGGCCGAATTGTTAGTTTATAACTGTTTTGTTTTAATATTTTTTATTAATATTATAGTAAAAAATTGAATTAATATAATTTATTATTTGATAAAATAAAATAATATTATTTTTAATTATTTAAAATATACTTATAAACTATATTTTATCAAATAAATTAATTATTTATCAATCACCTATAAATGTTAAATTTTAAAAGCTTTTAAGCTGAAATTAAAGTGGCTCATAAATTAGTGCCAAATGGAAAGAAATGAAGAGATTAGCTTGTAATAACTCAAGCGTTTACTTAACAAAAACAAAGAAGAAAATCCACCCAGAAAAAGAAAGAAGGAGAAGTTAGTCTAATGGAGCCTCTTCAAGCCCAAGGTCGTAAATTGCCGTCTACGGAACCGCGCATGAAGCGTTACAAACCCATTTGGCGTTTTTTATTGATTTCCAATTTCGCTCTCGGAGGTACAATTAAGTGCATGTATTCAATTTTGTATTTTGTATATAATGTGCTTGATAAAATGATTACATGGAGAAATCATTGTTTTTGTTGTACTGGGTATGAGTTTAAGTCAACACTATTAAGCTGATTGTTACTTGATTCTTACTATTATCGGGGTCAGTTCAGTTTGTTCTAAGTGTTTGGGTCCTGTTTTTAATCTTGTAGAGGTTCCTTAATTTCTATTCAAGAGCGGCTTCTCTCTTAGAAGGTGCATCAAGGGTGAATAGCTCTTTCTTTTTCTGATATCATGAACAAATTTTACCAGTTGTTAGAGATTCAATTTGGAATAAAAACTTTGGCATTATAATAAACATGACAGCTACAAAATTATGTTTGTATTTTATCTGCGAATTGATAATTATGAGAACTAGTGTTGTGTATTTTCTCCTAGGGTTTGCTCGAATCTATGCAGCATCATGCACTAGTACAATGCCGGTTCTGTGAACAGAAAACAAAAAAACTTCACTGAAAGAGCTACTAAGTATCCCCACTCGTTGTAGTATGCCCTTTCAGCTAAGCTTTATAAACGCCTGTACTAAATAGACACTGAATACACAAGGTTAAATGAACGATTTGTGAGATGGACTGTTTGTTTTCTCCAAATTGCGGTAATAATTAATGCAGCAGATTCTATCTCCTTCTATTTCTGATAAATTTCACTGGAGTTCCATTCCACTAAGCATTCCAACTCTCTGCCCTTGAGGAACAGCTGTATTGATGAAAAAAAACAATTTCTTTTTCTATGACTAATTAGGGACTGTGACACAATCTAATTATGACGATATTTGTTGCTATGTGAAGATGCCTTCTAATGAGTGGATGGTCAATCTTGTGGTATGCTGATATTGATATGAAAAACTGAATGTTGGAGGCTTTGATTGGGACTGATAGAAGTTTTTTTAGATGAAATTGCCTAGGCCAAGCTCCATGTCCAAAGCAAACCTGATTTATTGTAGTCGATGGGCAGGCTGACTTAAAGATTGCTCTAGTAGCACATCTGGAAAATTATCGTGAATTGTGATGTCTGTTGGTCGTCCATGTGCAGAAATTCATCTGAAATTACTTTCAATCTTCATGTGTTAATTAAACTGTTTGTGCTTCACGACCATAAATCTTAAGTATGTTTAATATGTCAAAAAGCTTTTATAAATTAAGTAATTTACTTTATTTTTTTGTATTTTTTCAATAATAGGTCGAAGTTACATGGAGGAGTTTAATGACTTTCTTTATAATTCTTGCAGGTTACATATTTGCAAAGGCAAGACAGAAACATCAGATTGGACAGGATAAGAAGGCTGCCAAACCAAGCGAGGAGGAGGAGGGTAAAGCTGCAGTTGAAATTTCTTCTTCCCAAATTTATGATGAATCATTGATCCTACCACCTGTCATTGAGCCTGTGAAGGTGCGGGAGCCCATCCCTGAAGATCAGCAGTGTGAGCTTTTCAAGTGGATGTTGGAAGAGAAAAGAAAAGTGAAACCCAAGGATCGTGAAGACAAACAACAAATTGATGAGGAGAAGGGGATTCTTAAGCAGTTTATTCGTCCAAAATCAATTTCACAACTCTAACCGGATGAATCTCTTGCCACTTAACAATTTTTATAAAGTCACAAACAATGAATGGATCTCACATTTAGCCTTAGGTACCCATTTGTTGCTAGACAGACGTTAAACTTTACTAGTTATCACATTGGTGATGTATTTTATATTTTTATGTTTCTTCAAAAGGGCAGGCGGGCCAACTGGCAAAGGGCAATCATTTAGTTTTGAGCATAGCGATCATTTTTCAAGCTGTGGCGACACTATAGAATACAAGGTCAATTTTGGCTTATGTAATCCAATATTTGGACGATTCTCTTGGTACAAAATGGTCCGACTGTTCAGAAATAAGGGGTACCAAGTGGTCGATTTTACCATCTCTGTCATATCTCGGACTCAATGAATCAAACAATTTTAGTAACACGGAAACTTTATTGGTGACCTATCCTAGAATAATTGATGTGATTAAGCATAATCAAGAAACCATGCTGCAGCCTGTTGATCAAATTTTTGTAAGGATACATCATTCAAAAAGTTATTGAGTTTTTACTGTTATTGTTCTATTTTGAACTTTTAGGAACTTAAAACGTTTTTCTAGCAGAGAACAAGAAAAAAAGTCAAGAGGCTTAAAAGCTTGGAGTAAGACAAAAAGAGAGATTTTGCTTACAAGCGTTTGAGTTGGGTAGTAAGAGACTTGATTGCCAGGTGACCCTACCATGTAACCTGTCAGTCAAGTCCAACCACAAATTTGTTTTTCCATCCAATCCCATCTCGCAAATCTCCTATTGTGCATCCTGAATTCTTTTGAAGCAAACTATTCGAAATATCAAATACAAATTAATCTTACAACTTATAGCCCTGCTTCATCTCTTATCTACTTTTATGCTTCCTTTCAGTACAAATTTCTACCTCAAATGCCAGGAACCATTCTAGTATCAGGTATTAACATAACCACTGCCCGTTTAACTGTAATTCAAATGTGACAGTTATTTTACTAACTTCTCTTTTTCAATTCAATATATTTCAGTTGTGGAGTTTAAGGGTCTTCAGTCATCATCAACAGCACCTCCACGAATTTCTGTCAATGGTTAGGCAATCATGGTTTTTGCTTTTGATATTATGCCTGTTGAGAAGAAAATTTTGCTGGGATATTTATTTATGTTTCATGATGCAGTTTCCCTGGGGAAAAAAGAGTATCAAACTTGGGGCAAGGAAGACTTCTCCTTGTAAAGATTCAATTTATCATTTATTTTTAAATACAGTTGTGCATGTTTGAAACTTCAAACTTGCATTTCTGAATGTGTTATTTTGGCAGTCCATTAACAACCCTTCGTGACAATTTGATGGTTAAACTTCATGATGCTGAGGGAAATGAGATATCACGAACAGGTTTATGATATGTTTTCCCTTTTGCATTTATCCATTATTACAATATACATTTGATTTCATTCCGGCAATGAGGATGATGGTGATGATCATACTTTGGAGCAGATGTTGAGACCAGATTGGTGGTCGAGAAAGGTCTTTGGGACCAGACTTTTCCCCTGGATGGAGGTGGGCATCTGCATTTGAAGTTGCAGTTTGTCCTTAGTGAAGAAGAGCGCCATCGAATCCGCAGCATGGTACTATATTTGTATTCTATGCTTTGTGAATCCTATAAATGAACCATGTACAAAGCTGACACATATGAAGTCAGACTTCAATTTTGAAATGGCAAAGAAAATCCACAATGCTAGAATGTCTTGTGCCAATGTGGAATTAAACCTTGGCCATGATACAAACTGGCCCTCTGACCAATTAACACTTCACTACTGTCTGTTTAAATTCTTGGTCATTAAGTTGTTTCTGAAAGGTACTGCCGGTTATATATGTCGATTGAACGTTTATTCTGTAAGAAGCTTTCTACTAGCTAAACCAGACAATCTGTTGTGTTCAACAACTTCTCTTTGTTCTTGCTATGTGTTGAATGATTAGGGTCAAACGTAGTTTGTCAGTTTGTTTTCACTGTTGTCATGTAGCTGTAAGTGATGCTTAAAGTTCATTTGCAGAGAGAATCGGCGTTGAGAAAGAAACATAGGGAACTTCCCAGTGGCAATCTAAGAAGTCCAGAAAATGCTACTACTGTTGGTATTAATGCTGAATCATCATTGTTCCTTAACCAAGAGGTCTCAGGTTTGATCTTGCATGACCAACAAAAACATTATAAGCTGAAAGTAAAGGATGAAATAGAAAATTTCTGGTCTAAGATGCATTGTCTAGACTGTCTAGAAATTCCTTTGTTTAATGTTTCTGACTTACAGAGCTTTCATTTTCTCAAGATTCAGAAACAAGTCTTCTTCAAAGTGAAGTGGCCACTGCACAAGCTGGTTTGGTATTGACTCCTGCAGACATCACTAGGAACGAAAGATTTGGAACTGAGAAAGGAGAAGGAATATTTTCTCTTCAAAAACAAGCTATCCCAGTTAAGGTTACTTAACATTTCTGAGTTAAAGTTTCTCTTCATCAAGATGGTGAAGACAGAAAGTATCATTGAGAATCTAATGGTCATTACACCTGTTTTAGAATGATACAGATAGATGCAAGGAGACTTCATCAATCACCTTTGTCTCAAGGGTTTGATGACCGTCTAACTGAAGTAAGCCACAAGGTTGAGAACATTGAGACTCAGACACCTGTGGATGATGTTCCTGAAAGGACCATTTGTTCAGAAGAAGCTTCATACCTGTCGGAAAGCTCAGAATTGGTTGTTGCAGTGAAGAACAAGTTAATTGCCCCTAAACTGTATGAAGAGAATACATACAATCCACAGAAGCAGAGTCCACTGGGAAAAGCTCCAAGCAACGTGAGGAATATGATAAGTGCCTTTGAAAGTAGCCTTGCTCAGGTAAAAAACATTTTTGGCTTGAAGAGAATTCTATTTATTATTACTAGTGAAGCAATTCTTTGTCAAAAATCGTGATACGAAGCTTGGTTTGAAGCAGGATATGAGACCTCATGAGAAATCACCACCACTTAAATCTCAGTCGAGCAGGATTGAAACTGAAGCTCAAAAAACTTCAATATTAGATGAAGTTAAGACAGACAAGGTTAAACCAACGCAACCCATATCCGTGGGGAGGTTAAAAAACCCATTTTTAGCAGGAGCGTTGCAAGAAGCCTCAACATATACCAGAAAAGGAGGAGATGAGCATGGTCCCTTTAGAGCTTTCAGTGAAGCTAAAACATATCAGGACATTAGGCTGCTCGAGTTAAGTGAAGCAGATGTTAAAAATAAAAGAAAAACTGGAAATATGAAGAATAAACTTACAGACAAAGAGGCTGAGTTAAAGGAAAGAAAAAATTCTTCTGGAGATTTGATGAGAGCATCCACAGGTAAAGCAGCCACAGTTTCAGGAAGATTGCTTGATGAGCATACAGGTGGACAGCAATCTGGTAAATTGTTTATGAATAACCAACATTCTGCCGGAAAATCATCTATGAAAGAGAGTGGGAAAGGAGTTTATCCAGAATATCTAGAAAAGGAGGACTGGAAAGATAAACATTACTCTTCCATATGTCCTGGTACCTGGATATTTCCAGTTGAATCAAGAAGCTTGTGCATAACAACTGGGAGCAAACATTTGATGGATCTAATGGGAAACTGTCACACCAAAGCAAAAATTCATGAAGAAGAAAAAAGTTCTCAACCAGAAAATGCTGAAGAGGTATCTATGTCCCAGATAGGCTTTTGGTTTGTTGATATATATTTAGGATTTCATTTTAATTGCATTAGGATTATCATGTGTATGATTATCATCGATTGTCTATAAATTCAATCTATGTCACACATACATGTGCACATCCACAAGCTCATGTGTTATGTATGAAATTCCAGGAGATGAAGATTGTGAGAAATATAATAAATGGAAGAATAACAACTTTTAGTAATCTTGGTTCTATAGGTGAATATAGATGACTAGTAAAAGAAGAAAAAGACGTAGAAGTAACCCTTTACTGGATTTTGTCATTGGACTGGATTTTTTGTCAACCCCTTTAGTATCAAACACTTGCGCGGGTATTGTAACACTCCCCAAAAGCTACACCTGCACTTATACTTACAAATATTGTTGCAGATTGCAACTTGCTATTACAAAGATCCTTATAAAACTTAAAAGTATAAACAACGTCATTGAGAAGTGGCTTCAGCCATATGGTGATACACACCACACAGGCTACAACCCCATCCTCTTACCTTTGAATTGGATTTTGCATTGAATTTTGCTTTAGGTTCAACATTTACAACTGTGATCCTAACATATTCAAAATGATAATCATCTGTGATCAGTTATAGGTCTCCCAGTACCATTGAAGGGAAGAACTGTTTCACAGTGATTTGATTCTAAGTTGAATAACTATTGTGTTTTTCCATCAAAATAATTTGAGAAATATATCTAATAGTGGAGTCAGAATATAAATGTTCATTTTGATGCTACAGTTTTCAGTTACTCTGAAACATGATTGTGGCTCATGCACATGGCAGAAATGGTATTTATTTCATCTTATTCTCAATCTGATAATTGACTTGTATGCTAAATTTGTTCAGAGTCCCATGCATGGTGGAGGTACCAAATTGAATGAAGGTGAGAAAACTAATCAAAAACCAAGGAAATCAAGACCTGTGAATTCAGCAGACGTTGAAACTCCTCGAGGACCAGTAGGACAGGTTAATTCTTACTCTCTTCTAGATCCTTGATCAATTAACTTCTCTCCCTTCTTGTGTATAGGAAATGGCATAGCTTAAATACTAATATTCTTTTTTTCCTCTTCAGGTAGTGAGAGTTGCAATCATGATAGGTTTTGCAACACTTGTTGTCTTTACTAGACAAAGAAACAGCAGGTATGCATCTTTCATTTGAATTTAATTTAATCATCCGTATCATCTCATGTGAAATTGGCTAATTCTTTCAATCTTAGTTTAATGAAACAGCCCACTGTTTAATCAGGAAAAACAAAAAGACAAGACTTTTCAATTGATTATACGCCTCTCTAAAGTGTAAAAACAAACACAGCTTTTATTCATCTATATATACTATTACTGTATTCAGAATCGTTTGATGAAGATTCCAGATAAGTTTTAGTGATTGTTCCTAGGAAATTCTAGCATCCCAATGTTCTTTTCTGAATTTTTTTGTTTTTTGTTTTATTTTTGGCAGAAGAACATGCCATGTCCTAATGTGTCTTATTGCTTCAATTTCAAATCTCTGATAAAGAACTTTAAAACTAACATTAAAAGACACCATGGTGGAGACCTCAGGATTATAGGCCATAATCTGAAAACAACTTTCTTTGTAAATTTTACATATGCTGATAATGAATTACCCATTTTTGTTTTGCAGCTGAATAAACCAGTGTTGCCATCTGCTGTCATCGTCCAAGACTTGGGAAGTAGAAGTATTTGGAGTCATGAAATGCTATAATTTTTTTTTGAATTCTTTTGGGTTGAATGGAATTATCTTTGGATGAGCAATCCCTTCTAACCACAAGTGTAAATTCTTTTCATTTTAATCATTAATCCGGATGTAAAATACTCTAAATACAGTTATCATCTTCATATAATAATATTCTTTGCATTCTAAATAATATGTCATCTTTTTTTATAATATACAACTGAATGTACCTCAAGGTATTATGCACAATGCAAAACCTAATGATCTAAATTTTGAAACGTAAAATAAATATCGAGATAAATGCATAACTCAAAAATTATGTTAATATCAAGTTAAAATTTTTAAGTAACAATATCCATCCTATGTAAATTTAAAATATTTATGAAATATATACTATTAATTGATTTTGCACTAAAACTCACTTTACAATTTTTCTCCTTTATGATTATTATCATTAATCACTCATAAGAATAGTTTTATATATGTCTTTGTTTGTTTTATCTCCATCTCGAATAACTTTACAAATAATTTGGAACTGTTTGGTTGGAGGTTATCCCCATTACTCTAATAGTGTCTTCTTAATATTTCTGACATTACCTTGTTTGGTTATCAAGTAATATAAGATTTTGGTCATTCTCTAATACCAATAGTAATCACGGTTGGTTATATAGGTGGTAAATTTGAATACTATCATTTTCTTAGATATTTTAAGATTACTTGATAATCTTATTTTTTTTTTACAATTTTACCCATTAGTAATATAATTTTAGGATAATAATGTCCTTATTATCTAAACAATTTACAAGAATTTTTATGGACAATTTCAGCCTTATACATAAGATTTTTAAGACATTATTACCCTTATATTTCAACAAAATTATCCAAGACCACATCTAGATCTGGCTGGTCGTGGCCATCAGTCGTCTTGGGTGATTGGGCGTGTTTTGGTTAATTTTTAAATTTTTATTGTGGTTGGGATGTTTTAACAAAATCTCAAATGTAAAAGGTTTAAAAATAATTCAAATAATAATAATAATAATATTAAGAAAGAATAGCAATTCAATAATTTATATAATATACCCACCAATCCAACTAAATATGACAACCCACAAATTTACTCTAATTTAACCAAACATATTTAATATAACATTTTTATTAATCTTCAAAGTAATATACCTTTCCATTAATATGACATTCTCGGTGATATAACATTCTCCCAACCAAATGTTGCTTCCGTAAACCTTAATTAACTGAATTAGGGGTTCATTCCAAATATCATAACATTTATGGCCTAAAAGTGTAATATCAGAAAAATAGTAAAATAATTATATTAAATAAAATAAATTAAACCCAGAAAAAGAGGCTTAAAACCCTAGCTCCACCGCAAGACCCATAAAACACCAAAAAAATCACCACCTCCAAAAACAAAAACGAAGAAAAATTCAATAAAACAAGTAAAAAATGGTTCGCAGCCTCAAGAACCCTAAAAAGGCCAAGAGGAAGAACAAGGTTGAATCAAATTAATTAATTTATTGTATTTCCTTAATTCATTTGTCAATAAATTAGTTATGATTTTTAACCAAGTTATTCGCTTACTGTTAAAAAGGGCTCAAAAAGAGGAGATGGGTCATCATCATCGTCTTCAGCACCGTCATTACCTACAAAGGTGTGGCAACCAGGAGTTGATAAGTTAGAGGAAGGAGAGGAGCTTCAGTGTGACCCAACTGCCTACAATTCTCTTCACGCCTTTCAAATCGGTTGGCCTTGTTTAAGGTTCTGTTCATAAATAATATTTTTTAATCTTGACATTTTGTTATGTGGTTTAAATATGTATTAGGATGCTCTTGTTTTTCCAAATAAAATGCAAAATTTGGAACTTTTAACTTGTTTTAGGATTGAGTTTTTTTAAAAGTCTGATATTTTTATGTTGTTAAATTGTTTATGCTCTTTCAAAATAAATTTTGAATACTTTTGACAAAAATTAATCTTCTACTCAGTTGAGGCTAAGGGAAGTGTTCGGTTGCATTTCTGCTCCTGAACATTACACATTTTGCAATATACAAAGTTTAATTACATATTAGTTTTTCTTTTTTTTTCTTTTTTTTTTTTAGAAAACATAGGGAGTTTAAGCATTTTCTTTTATTTTTTCCTCATATTCTTTGAAAATAATGACAATTAGAACTTTATCTAATTTAATGTTAGATTTATTACTTTTTACAGCTTTGATTTTGTACGTGATACATTGGGTTTGGTGCGGAATGAATTTCCACACACAGTGTATTTTGTCGCTGGGACTCAGGTAACCTCTATATCTTATCAGTCTTAAGTAATTTTGTGAATCTAGATATGGCTTCTAAAATAATCATTTACTAAAGGATATTTAATCTGTCTTTGCATGGTGTCCCTCAATAATTTTGATGTTTCTCAATGTTGGCATGAGCATTCTGTATCTTCAGTGTGTGATTAGAGTATGTAAAGATATAATTGTTTAGGTTTTTAGAATGTACATTTTTATTTTTTATTTTTTTGGGAATAGAAATACTATAAGAATCAAGGAAAATTTGGAGCAAATGTGGTTTTACTTCATAACATGTTGTGTGACCTTTTGCTTGTATGGAAAAAAACCTAATGCTGACTTATTTGGGACAGAGGAAAAAATAATGTATGCTTGGTTTTCCTTCTAATCCCTCCTTATCTCGTAATTCAATCATTGTAACTTGATGATCGTATTCTTCTTCTGCAGGCAGAGAAAGCTGCTTGGAATTCTATTGGAGTGTTTAAAGGATCTAACATTTCTGGGAAAAGACGTGAATTGGTACCTAAAGCTGCTGCTGGTGATGAGGATGTAGATAGTGAAAGTAGTGATAGTGATGAAGATAGTGAAGATGAGGGGGAAGGTGGTTCTGGTGCACTAACTTTGCAGGCAAAGTCTTATGTTGACATTTAATTCATTTCATGACTGACAATTATCTATGATGCTTATTGTCTTCATAGTTCCTAATACATTCTGCAATTTGTTTGTTCACATCTACAGTTACGCAAGGTAGCTCATCAAGGATGTGTCAATCGCATTCGTGCCATGGCACAAAATCCCCATATATGTGCATCTTGGGGAGACACTGGTCATGTACAGGTCAGACTTGCATCCTTAGAATATGGAGAAGTTCCTTCGGTAGCTCTTGTGGTTTCCCAAGGACAGCGGTAGCTGGGGCAAAACCCGCTTTCATGTTTTAGATCATAAGTAGTTCCTAATTTTTTGTTTGGCCCTATTCATCCAGGTATGGGACTTCCGCTCTCATCTAAATGCTTTAGCTGAGTCAGAACCAGAAGCTAGCCAGGGAGCTTCTCAGGTTTTTAATCAAACTCCATTAGTTAAGTTTGGTGGGCACAAGGATGAGGGCTACGCGATAGATTGGAATCCTGTTACTCCTGGAAGACTTGTAACTGGTATTTTTAGATAGCACTATATGACTATGTTTCTCCTAAAGTCTTCAGTGTTCTGTTACTTTACAGATATAAAATTGGTTCTAATGTTTTAATTTCCTTTTCATTTTAAAGGGGACTGCAATAGTTGCATTCATTTATGGGAGCCTGCATCTGATTCTACATGGAATGTTGATCCTAATCCTTTTGTTGGACATTCTGCAAGTGTTGAAGATCTACAAGTACACATTCTACCTATGAATAAATACTTGAATCCTATATGATATTTAATATCTGGATCCAAACTCATGATACAATACAAACGGCTTACCAATTAATAGTTCAATCTGGTAACTGTTCTTTTTCCAACTTTTGTCTATGTAGTGGAGCCCTACAGAATCGGATGTATTTGCCTCTTGTTCTGTGGATGGAAACATAGCAGTTTGGGATACGCGTGTGGGAAAGTCACCATTAACTTCTTTTAAGGCACATAATGTGGATGTGAATGTTATCTCATGGAACAGGTGTTTGAATCTTTCAACATATTTGGCACTCCTTTTCAACACCCTTCTCTAAGTATATGTAATTGACCTCAGCTTTTAATTTGCTTATTCTGACTAGGCTGGCTAGCTGTCTTTTGGCATCTGGAAGTGATGATGGAACATTTTCCATTCATGATCTAAGATTGCTCAAGGTATGTCTATTTTAAGCTGGGATACAACATTTATACTGAGGAAGCATGTCATGATATTGGTAAATTCTCATTGCAAAGAATATCAATGTTAGATAATTGTCTCCTTATTTCTTGTTTCTCTTTCAGAGTGCCACATCCTTGAGATATGTTAACATCTCATATCTCAACTGTTTTCTTCATGTTCAGTTTGATCCATTATTACTACTGATAACATTTAGATTTTAACTATGCTTGGTCATGACTGTTTTATGTTTAATCATGAATATGTTGGCTGATTTAATCTGTCTAGTGGCTTCTTTTTGCCCTGCTTGTTTGGTTTTTTTTTTTTTTTTTTTTGGGTTAATTTATAGGTATCTCATTATATTTTTTTAGTCATATTAAAATGGAGAAAGAGTGTCTTTTATAGGCATGAGTTAATTATGTTAGTTTTTGATATTGTTGGTATTGCTGATCTGATGTTACTTGTATCTTTCATGTGGGCAGGGAGGAGATTCTGTCGTAGCACATTTCGAGTACCACAAACACCCTATTACATCCATTGAGTGGAGTCCACATGAAGGCTCTACATTGGCAGTTTCATCATCTGACAATCAGTTAACGTAAGTAGTATGCAAAGGCCAAATTACGGGAGCCAGTAGAAATAGATAGACGGAATGGCTGGAGCATAATTTTATACAGCTCTCTTTCATCACGCTATAATTTATTCATTATTTGGTTTCCTTGACCAGGATATGGGACCTTTCTTTGGAAAAGGATGAGGAAGAGGAGGCAGAATTCAAAGCTAAAACAAAAGAGCAAGTAAATGCCCCAGAAGATTTACCTCCTCAACTTCTGTTTGTGCATCAGGTAATTTATATTTGCCTTTCTTATTAGTGGTAATGTAAATTCTTCACTAGAATGGAATCGTTTAGTTGGTTAATTGTGTTACGTGAAACAGGGACAAAAAGACTTGAAAGAACTTCATTGGCATGATCAGATACCTGGAATGCTTGTATCTACTGCATCAGATGGTTTTAACATCCTGATGCCTTCCAACATACAGAGTACCCTTCCCCAGAATGTTGCTTGAGAGTATGATGTTCCTGAGCTGCTGAAAGGCTGCCAACTTTACAATGCGTCATCTCAGCAGCCAGGTTAGACGGGTAAATTGTAATTTACTGGAATGTGTGGAGTAAAGTTTTGTCTTTTTATTTTTTCTTCTGGACACAAGGGGTGACATTTGTTTACTCACTGTTGCACCCAAAGTTTTCGTGTAAACTGCAAATTCTATGAAGTGTGTTTTTCTACAGTTGAGGTTTCATGCAATAATGCAAATCTATTGATTTATTTCCTGTTTTGTGCGTGGAAAATAACATGGCAACTCCTATCACAATAGTAATAGTTAACAAACAAAAAGTGTGAAAGAGTAATTGAAATTGAAAAAAGATAAAATAAATTTAACAAAATTGGACAAAAACTTGCACTCTTTTGGACATGCCGTTCTTTTCGGTCACAATCTGACAATCATCAACCCACAGCCACATTTCTTTCACTATCATGGCCATGGCCCATAGCCATTGCCATTGTCAAAGCAACCATCAACTTATAACTTCACAATTAATTCATCACAAAACATAAATATGAATTCAGCATCATAATCTATCATCACAAAATGCCATTTTCATAACCCACTCAGGCTATTCATCGTCACAAAATATCTTTTATCACCCATCTTTGGAACTCATCTTCATCACCCGTTTCATCTTAAACAAAACATCAACTCATCATCACAATGACCTATTTATATTTTTAATATCTTATATGGCGTAAATATGAAATTTATCGGGTCTACTGGTTTCACTAACTCGGCCAAATAATAGAGGGTAAAGAGTCATTTCAGGAATTTAAGGATTTATTTTATCTCATATACTTCAAGGTGTTAAAAATAATTTCTCCGTTTAGCTAAAATACGCACGGTGACAAAGTTCAAAAAGACCCTAATTTTGTAAAAGGGAGGTCTCAGAGAATTTTTGAAACTCAGGGGAGGTTAGGAAGCTATTTTAAACTTATGGGATGTTACTTGGGTAACGTAAACCTCAGCGGAGGTGAGGATAATAATCCTTTGTAGATCGTTCGTTTTATATATATCTCGGAAAATTCCGCTAATAAACTAAAACTACACATCAATTATGCCTAACTCTCTTTTTTTTAATTAAATATCAATTTTTTTAATTTAAATTAGTTGTTCTCTGAACATAATTTTGATAATTTGAAAAATAATGATGTTTATATATATCAAAGAGAAATTATAAAAAAATGACCCAAAATTGGGGTGGGAATTGAAATCTAGCTTAGGTGTGGAGAGTGTCTCAGGACTAGCCCAACCACATTTTCCCATAATTCAGCACGAATCTTGAACTAAATTCCAATTTTCCAAGTGCTCAATCTCTAGCAATCACGTACAAATCTTGTTATTTTGATTCAAAGGAGGTGTTATTGAACCATTTGATGCTTGTTGTTCCATTAAAAGCTACAAAAAAGAGAAAAAACTAAAAAAAGTATGTTATGTCATTTGCAAGTTGTAAATGATTTCATTTTTTGATGGATTTACAATGTATGTGTCTTAAACATGTAAATCAAGTTTTTTGTGTGTGTGGGTGTGTGTGTAAAATATTATATAACATTACAAAAAAAACAACAAACAAAATACATTTTGCGAATGTGACTGAAACCTAGGTGTCAGTCACTATCAATCAAAGAGTTCTATATCTAAATGACCGACAGTAATCGATACCTAGGTATCAATCAATTTAAAGTTTAAATGACCGAATGGTAGGTGTTGGTCACCAATATTTGTTATGTGTTATCCAACTGACAATACTTACTATTGATCAGTTCACTTCATCACTTGAATTGACCAATAGCTTGTATTCGGTCATTCAGACAATGGCCGATATCCAAGGTATCAATATGGATGACATCTTTCTGACCAAATAGGACTAATATAGGGTGTCGGTAAAAATACACAGACGGCTACACCGCCCCTTCAAACCGCCGTTTTCCGTCCAAATACCCAAACCAACCAACAAACAACCAATCTTCAGCTCTAAAACTACTCTTCCTAGGTTGAAACATCACGATTTACCCCCAAAACACAAAATCAATCATTTTAACACTTGAAATAAACTAAAATCAAGATAAAATATACCTTCTTATTTCACGAATAATTCTTTGGAAAATTGCAATGATGAAGAAATAGAATCACTACTTTGCTGGATTTCGGTCACAATCAGTGGAAATTCACGAATAATGTCAAAGCATAATAGTTACCTTAAGTCGCCACAGGTTTATGCAACGACCAACCAATAACACTTTTAATAAGAATAGAGTGATACTCAAATTAATTAATAATTATTGGAAGAGTAAATATAATATAAGAATTTTAAGATTTTATTATATATATAAATTAAGAGAATTTTAGAGCAGATTATAAATATTAAAATTGAGAAACAAAAAAACAGAGTGAAAAAAATGAATTAAAAATATAGAACACATTATATTATGTATCCGAAATTTATACATGATTTCACACTCACTTGACTACTTGCTATTTATATCGTAATTTTCCCAGAAAACTCAAAACTAATTCACTTGTACTCCATTCATCCTTTCCATCGACAATGAGTAGCCAAAGAATACACAATTCGCACCACCATCAAAAGCCAAAAAATTTGTAAATTAGTAATTTGGGATTTCGGAACAGTTCAGCTCAGAAATTACAGCTCTTCATAAACGAGTTCTCCAATTCAAAAGAATTACTATGAAACCAAATTTATAATCTAGTGTTCTCAAAAAAACGCACATGTTTGTTTTGACTAATACAACAATGCCTGGTGTTATGTATAGCACAAATATATATGAGCCAATATTATTACTACATCTACATCAGTGTCTACTGCAGTTACACAAAGTACATCTTAGCATCCTAAATAACTCCTTCGCCAGCTCTATGAATTGACCGGTCTACCGTTTAATTTCGGAAAAGGATCCTGCTTGCTCAAGACCACCACTTTACTCTTGTGAGCGAAATATCCTTTAACTAGATTCTTGTGTATCAATATGGCAACTATACATTCCACCTATGCATTGCAACGTATTCTAATTACATAATCTACCAGGCAAACCTACCACAAAAGAGAGTCTAATAGATTTTAAAAACCAAAAGTGACGAGAATGAAGAATTGTACCTCATCAACATCCATGTCCATCTCCAGCCATTTCAATGCCTTAACAATTACTTCCAACTTCATCTGGTGAGCTTTGCTAGGATCTTTCTGCTTTTGGATGATGTAACTGAAGAATTATAATGAAAATTATCATGAACCAGATATTACAAGTATATGTAAATGTAAATATGTATACAATCAAGAGAAATGGAACTCACATTTTCTTGAACAGTCTTTGAAAAACTTGGAGTTCTAGCTTCTCCAGCACAAGATATACCCCTGATCTTAAGAACCTTATGAAAAGAATTAAGAAAAAAAAAAAGAAAAAAATCATCATTCAGATATTGTCAAGGAGTAGATGACTCCAATGTCACCTTCCAGAAATTAATTTTTATGGACAGTTGTACTACAGACCACCCAAATTGAAAGGGAAAACATACCGGTCTTCATGCTCTTGGAGAGCATGTCGAAGAAGTCGGAGATCACCCCTTCTTAGAGCTTGCACAATATTGCTGTACTGTCAGAGAACCAGCAGATATTAGATATGAGCTGCACAAAGAGGTAGCCCTCTTCCCATCCATTATTAAATTACAAAAATAGAGTTATTATTTTGATTTCCGTAAGATAATAGAATTAATTCACAAAGAGGAGAAACGATTCAAATGGCATGCCTTACCTCAACCAGGTTATACTTCTCTAGCATCCACTCTTCAGGTAAGATGCCTATTGAAAGCTTCACTGGTATCAAATATTTCAATATCATCCTGCACAACAAAGAGAAGAAAAATATCAGCTACAACTGCTGGGTTAAGAAATTGCTATAGATCTCATGTTTGACTTATATAACATCCCAGGAAAAAAACTATTCAATACAAAAGTAATAAGATGTTTTGAGACATCAATAAACCACAGAATTTGAGATCAAACATCACATAAAAAAGAAAAAGCAATGATATTGGTGCACATAGTACAACGTTAATGATCCAAAACATGGTAAAATGAGTGAAATTGACCAGCTATAATAGTTCTCAAACTTATTAAATGAAAGAAAAACAAACACAATCATCAAGCCGGAAAATTAGCTAACAAGGAAGAACTCAATCAAAATGATAAAGAGAAAAAAAATCTATTACAGATATAACAGCTAAATTAAAGTAACACCATTTATTATGTCAGCAAAATTAATGGCAGAATGGACATTAATATTTCCTAATAAAACATCATTTGAAAAATATCCAGTACAGCCAGTTAACAAGTATTTAATAAAGACTAACAACTGCATAAAGAAACAGTCCATAGTCTTTCTATCTTTAAGATGCAGAACACATGCATTAAGCACAACTGAAACAAACCTTATATTGGCTTCACTCCTGGGGTTGCAATGCGTCAAGGCATATGATAATTTCTGATCAGCCTGTGAGGTCATAAAAAGAGACTAAGTGAATAACAGGACAATGAGGAATTATACAAATAATGAAACCAATCAGACCATAAATCATATTGAACATATTATTTTCCAATTAAAAGATGATAGCATGAAATCAAACAATATCATTCAAAGATTGAATATTAGGTCTGCACTGGCATGTTCATCCAGAATGTCCAGGGACCAAGGGGAAATCTCCAACAAAAGGCTAGAATTCATCTTCATGTAAATCAAATCATATCTGAACTATTAAAAAGGAACTTAAATACTTACATCGGGAAAATTTTCATTGAAAACTTCTAAACGGCCCGTATAATACATGTAAGTGACCTGCAGATGCAAATCATGATAGTAACTATCAATACTCAGAGGATCAATTTTTGCAAGGAAGAAAAACATATAATCTACCCCCTCCCCCTTTTTTAAAAAAAAAAAAAAAAAAAAAAATGAAAAACAAACAAAACTCAAATCTTACCTTGTCTCGTTTAGGAAATTCCTCAAAATCAAAAATACGAGCAGTGTCTATACTTCTTATTACACTACGGCATAGGTGAACGGTACCAAGCTACAAGTAATACAATTTAAATATCTTAGTGTAAGCTTAAATTAGATAGTTTCCTTCAAAACTTTAGAGATAATAGAAGGTGAAGAGCACCTTGAAGTAAATCTTGAACAACTGGCATGTCACATATAATGCTCCGACACGTTTTGCACCTTTTCCCTAGAATTGACATAATATTTCAAAAGAAATAGCAAAGACAGTAACCAAAATTTAAACACACCTAGAGCATTCATACATCAAATAGAGCCAAACAATCTAATAATAAGAATTAGTTTAGAGGAACATACAGCAAGAACCCCAAAGACTTTCATAAGAAAAGAGCCAGCAGCCTTTAACTTCTCAGGGGACTTTCCATTGGCAGCCAACTCTCTATCAGCCTACAAAAAATTTACAAACAACAATGTAGCAAAATATCTCCCCAGAATTTAAAAAATAAAATAGAGAAAATCATACCCTCTCGGCAAGAACCCTAATCTCATAAGCAATGACATACAATGATTCCAAAGCCCAGGCCGATTCCCAATTCCGGAACTCCTGAAGAAAAGCACTGTAATTTCCGCGTTTAATTAGCAAGTAAGTATATCTCCAATTATAATTAATAAGAATAACATTTAAAAAAAAAAAAAAAAAAAAAAAACCTACTTGGCAGATTTTTCAAAGGCGTGATAGGCATCAACCAAGTTTCCAATTCGATAGTTTTGTAGAGAACGAAAAAGCGGAACTATAATTTCTCCAAACTGAGAGTACTTATCGGACTGTTTAATCAATCTATTAGCGTCCTGTTACAAACACAAAACAAAAATAAAAGTTTCAGCATTAATTGTTAAATAGAATCAGAGACCGGAATAGAGGGGGAGATTTGAACCTGGAAGACGTTGAGAGCGTCGGCGAGGGGGAGGAGAAAGTGAGTGTTGGAAGAGAAAGAAAAGAGAAGCTTGAGTGAAACTACGTCTTGGGAGTAAACGGCGTCGGAGAAGCGGTTGAGGTAATCAGTGATCCTTCTGTGTGCTTCTCCCATGCTAACGTACGCCATTGAATTGAATTGGATTGGTATGGGTTGAAGAGTCCAAGTCTGTTGAGAAACAACGACTGAAGCTTGTTTGGCAGTTGTTGGAGAAAGTTGTGATCGTTTATATGTATTTTTTGAAATTGGATTCTGTTGTCTTGTGGAGGTTTAGTTTACTATAAAAGTGTCTGATTAAATGAGATTAATGAATTTTTGCTAACGAGGGTTTAGATAGTTTAATTATGAAGAATTATTAGTTGATAATAATTTTTATTATCCTATTCGATTAAAAATTATTATTAATATATTTAAATTATTTATTAATGTATTATAAAAGAGTAAAGTTTATAATCAACATATGATATTGATGGCTCAATTGTTTATATGTTTGATGGATAATTCAGGGGTGGGCGGGTCTAAGGGAAATCAAAGGAATCGGAACCGTTGGTTCCCTAAATTTGGAACCGAAATCGAAACCTGAAACATCGGTTTTGGTTCCGGTTTGGGTACTCAGGATAATTTCAAATACTCCTTACTTTTAAAAAAATGACAAATAAACCCTTTAATGTTTACAAATACACACCCAAGAGATTATAGATATTATAAATACACCCCAACATCTTGTAATCCAATAACTCTCCTTTCATCATAAACCTACTATGATGGAGATATCATAATCCAATTGCAGGATGTAAAGGCAAGGTTTTAAAACCCAGCCCGGCGTGAAACTTGGCAAAGTGGTTGGGTCTTGGGTAAGGATAGGCATTTTCCCTGTCTTGGCCTGAATGAGGCGGAGATTCCCTGAATGGTTCGGGAACGGGACCGGGTTCAGGCCAAAATTCATTCCCCAAATTCGGGGATAGGGTTAGTTTGCCCCAGTTTGGCCCCGTCCGGCCTCGCTCCATATATATTACATTTTTAATAAAAAAATTATATATATATATATATATAATTACCATTTTAACAATTAATTGTTTCACATTATTAATTTATCAAATTCAAATTTGATTATAATAACATAATTGTGGAAAACATTGAGTGAAATCATATACAAATGGGTAATAAATAATAAGAGTAAATGGCACTTTTCCACCCAAGGTTTGACAAATGTGCGAGATTCGACCCATGGTTTCATAAATTATAGTTCACACCCTTAAATTAACACCGTTACTTTTCTCTTAACATAACCTCCACATCTCTAAGTTCTCTCAAATAACCCCCAGAGGAGATCCCGGCCAAGCCAAAAATCCGGCTTGATTCTAGCACCATTGGACCTCCCTGACACCACCATCAGCATCCCCTTATCCTCCTCACCAAAACCCCTAACTTTTCCACCCGATTGCACCATGGGGAGGTGCTAGAATTTGACTGGAAAGGTGCGACAAAACGTGAAAACGTAAGGGAGAGGCGGCAGTGATCGACGGGTAATTGCGGTCGACAATTTTGGGGGTTTTGATAGGGGGAAGCCAGTGATGCTATTGGTGGTGTTAGGGGTGGTTTTCAGTGCCAAAACCTGTCGAAATTTGGATGAAACGCCAACTGAAACTAAGAGCGGCGTCGACGATTGGGGGGTTCAATCAGGGGAGGAGGTTAGGGGTTTTGATATGAGGGTTGAAGGGATTGTAATGCTGGTGTCGGGATGGGTCAACTACACCGAGAATAGGCCGAAATGGTCTGAAATCGTCGGTGGGGTGAATTTGAGAAGTCAAGGGTTATTTTGAATTTTTTATCTTTGAAATGACCATTTTACCCTTTTAACTATTAGATTAAACAGTTTTCTGTTAATTTAAGAGTGAGAATCTGTAATTTATGAAACCATAGGTGGGAACTTGTAGATTTGCCAAACCTTGGCTGGGAAAATGTCGTTTACTCTAAATAATAATAGATAAATTGTCTATATTAAATATAATGAATCATTATAAATATTTTTAATACATAATAAATATGTTATATATGTATAAGTATCATTTGATATACATAATATATGTAGACCATAAAGTCTAGGTCAAGTTAAGAGGGATAGATCTTGTATGAAGTAAGCCACTGACAATCAGTTGTACTTGCACAAAGAGCAAAAGGGAACTTGAAGGCTAGATAGACACCAGTGTGGCACCTGCCGTAGACACTTCGACGCTTAAGTCAGCGAGACAGAGGGTATTTTAGTGAGGGCTAAGGACGGAAAGGAATACCAGAATAATGCAATGGTTCTTGGGAGCAAGAACTTTGAGAGCCTAGCTATTGGGGGTGATTTCTCAACCAATAATTCTCAACCAATAATGAGGCGGTCTACCCCTTGCTTACATAGTGAACCCAAAAGGTTTGAATCCTAGTAGGACTTTGAGTCCTACTAGGTAAAGGAGTTGTAATTAGGAAGGAGATAAGATTTATTTCCTTTATTGGGTTAAACTTATCATTATGAATGAGATCTGGGATCTTGACAAAAGTGGAAACAAAACAAGATTTTGTTTCCTATTCATGGACTTTTGTGGGCTAGTGGGCTTGACCTAACTTAGCTCAACTTGCAGGATAGCCAAACTTATAGAGAGGGCAGTTCGCAAGACATATTTGAGTGTAAGCCTAACCAGAATTGGGCTAAGGCCTTGGGTCGTAATCTGTTCATTTCATTATTGGGCCTCGTCAGGCCCAGTACGATTTTTTGCCCATACAATATATATGTTATATATGTATAATGTATAATACATATGATACATTATACAAAATAATATAATATGCTATTATCCATAATCAATTAATCATATGTTAATACATAATATATATTGATAAGTTCAATAAATTTAGTGTTTTTAGGTTTGTTTTTATAGCCTTTTAGTTAATTTCTCATTTGTTTTCTGTGTTTTGATGTTAGTTTTTGTAAGTTTGAAATATGAACGGTCAACTATTGATTTGGAGAATTTTTGTAATTTTCAGGCATTAATTGAGTAGATTGGAGTATTGGAATGAAATTGGGATACAAAGCTTGAAGAAATTGAGATTAGTTGACAAGTTTGAAGGCCATGGCCTTGCCTTGGTGGTTCACCACGGCCGTGGTGGTGGAATGAAGATAAAATAACGAGGACAGGAAACACCGTGGCCTACGCTATGGTGACGTACATTTGGACACGACTAGGGTCGTGTCGGACACTTTTAGGGTTTTTATTAGTTTTTCTTTCCTTTTTTACTTAGGACTCTTTTGGGTATTTAAGGGTGATTAAGATTACTCCTTAGGGAGGCCGAATTTTACCCATTCTTGGAGAGAGATTATTGGGTAACAAAAGAGAAAGGAGAATCAAGAACAAAATTCGTCACAGAGTTTGTTTTTACTTTTTCAATATGATTTATTTCTTGGATTCTACTGTTGTTTCTTTTATTATGAACTAATTTTCTTAGGCTAAGACTAGGGTTAGTCTTTTTATGGATCTGTGATCAATCTTTTACTCTTTGGTCAGTGAATTATTTTTCTAATGATGAGTTTATATTATGTGCTTAATGCTATTAGGAACCTGATCAATTTCTGATATAATTGTTTTGTGTGATTGAGACCAAGAGGAGATATCACATGAGTGCTTTAGTACTATAGGCCATGGATTAATTGGATATAGAGATATATGAATTGATACATGTAATAGTCATAGGCAGGATTAACTTGTGCTGAAAGCTAGATGATTTCATAAAGCTTAATGCTCGTCTATTTCATTAAATCTATATAGAAATATCTAGGTTGTGAGATAGAAGTAGAATTAATATTGCTTGAGAAAGAATATTGGTTAACATAGAAATCCCGTTGTCACATTAATTAAATAAATTCATTGACCATAGTAAATTGAGGGGTGCAGAGAAGTTATAGATGAACCTGAAGTCTTAGCCGTTTTCTCTCATTGAATTCTTAATTTTAGTTTTACTGCAATTCGTTTCTAATATTTCAGATTTTAATATTTTCAGTTTTAAAGATCACCATTCTAAGTTTTGATTATCTAAATAAAGTTAAGACTAATTAATATTCCAGTACTTGTTTATGCAATCCCTTGGATACGATAACCTATATTTTGTTATACTATATTACTTGAGACTAGTGCACTTGCTAGTAGTAGTTGCAAACGATACAACAAGTTTTTGGCGCCGTTGCCAGGGATTGTAGTTTGGCAATATTGAAATCATTAGTTTAGCTTTACTTTAGATCTTGTTCCATATATATATATATATATATTTTTTCAAGTTCTCTTGTTTTTAGATCTTCCAGTGTATGACACACACTAGAAGAAGATTAGAGATTCTTGAACCTTTTGATCCAGAAATTGAGAGAACAATACGAGCATTGAGAAGAAGGCAAGGAAGGAGCATGGCAGACGACAATAATAATAATCAAGAAGATCCTCCACTTTTGGAGAATCTCAAAGAAGATGCAGCCCCACGTTCTTTAATGGATTATGCAATGCCGTCATTGAGTAGCACTGCTTCTAGCATTAGGAGGCCAACCATTGCAGCAAATAACTTTGAAATTAAATCTACGATTATTCAGATGATTCAGTCAACCTGCCAATTCAGTGGTTTAGCCCACAAGGATCCAAATGCTCACATTGGAAATTTCTTAGAGATATGTGATACATTCAAGCAGAATGGTGTCACAGACAATGCAATTAGATTGAGACTGTTCCCTTTTTCATTAAGAGATAAAGCCAAGAATTGGCTAAATTCTTTGCCTGCAGAATCTATTACAACATGGGATGCATTGGCTCAGCGCTTTCTAGCTAAATATTTTCCTCCCTCTAAAACTGCAAGGATGCGTAATGATATCCCTAATTTTATGCAGGTAGATGGGGAGTCGTTATATGAAGCATGGGAGCGTTACAGAGAGTTGTTGAGGAAATGCCCGCATCATGGATTACCAATTTGGTTACAGGTACAAACTTTTTACAATGGTTTAATTCTTGCTAACCGTTCTACGATTGATGCAGCTTCAGGAGGCACTATAATGAAGAAGACACCAGAAGCAGCGTATGAATTATTGGATGAGATGGCTTCAAACAGTTACCAACGGCAATCTGATAAAGTACCACAAAGGAATGCAAAATGATTATATGGAGTGGATGCAATCACAGCAATTTCCACTCAATTGGAAGCATTGAACAAAAAGATTGATAATATGAGGGCCCCAATCATGCAAGTGAAGAGCATGAGTTG